TGCAGGTGCAGTGGCAGATGATCTGGCCAGATGGGGTGAGGAAGGATATGATCAAAGGAGAAGACATACACAAAATGTGAGAAGGGTGTCAGATTGAGCAAGCGAGAAGCACCGGAGCGTCGTATTTGAACCATCGAGTGAATAGATCACCACCCACGCAGACATCTCCAGGGTTGTCTCCGATTTTTACATCCCACATTCCGGAGGGGGTCGTATTATGCGCCGTCCGCCAGGCAGATGCATAACACCTTGTCCTTGATTGACTCTGGTTCCTTACTGGTCAGGGAACACATGGTCAACATTCGATGACTGCAGCAGATCTTGACTATGTATGCGAGCGAAGCCCACAAAAATAGTCGAATGAGAGTATTTGTCTGGCAAGGATTGCTGGTGAGTCTGCATCTTTTGAGAAAGTCACAAGAACTGGTCAAAAAATGTCTATACTCCCTCATGTCATCAACAGTGCTGTCCAAATATGAATAAAATAATCTCGAGGGCATATTTTATTCTAACCATATTATATTCTCAATCCGCCCCGAGATATTTAATGATAGTGTTATTTTATTCATATCGTATTCATAGGTATTTGTATCTATTCATATTTAATGGATAGAAACACCATCGAGGTACTGAATTCCATCACCAAGGCCAAGCTTCAACAATTCCTTGGTAATGACAGTGGCAGAAGCAGTCTCTGCAGTCATCGAGGAGCGTGAATCAGAAAGGGTGTGTTTGCTACTGGAAAACAAGCGTTCGACGGCAATGCTGACAGCGGGTATAGTGAGGACATCACGAGCGATGCGCGACAGGATCACAAGTCCCTGTAAGGCTGATGCATCAATTCTGCTAGTTATAGGTGATAGGTAATGCATCCACTATGTACATTACCAAGCTTTCCGATGCATCATTGATGCATCAGAACGTGCAAGTTAGCAGACCTTTAATGGGCTATGGTCTGTAGACTGTAGCACTTTCAGTCAATAATATTTCTTTTTTGGTCCTCGACAACCAAGAAACCTATATATGAAGATCTAATATTCAGTTGGTCAAATCTCAGTTCGCATTGTGCCTTCCACTTTGCCGAGCTTCTATTTGGTACCTTCCTTGTTCAAAATGGATCTCATTTTAAGCCGCTTGACCGATGACATATCCCAAATGAGTCAAATACAGAGATTTGCAAGCAGGTTTGGAGCGGGCATATTTACATTTAGGGCACTCACTCGCACATTTCTAGTCACAATTAGATGTGATATATTCCAGGTATTGATCAAGTCACAAATACAGATAGCATACACAAAAATGCGAAAAATTACCTATAACAGGCCCATCTGGATTCTGGGTTGTAGGTGCTTCTACAGCATACAGCCACACAGGCTGATATGTGGCATGAGTAAACCTGCGTGTTGGACGCCAGACAGGAAAGGTATATCTATGAGAAGTGAGCGAGTGAGAGACAGCGAGTGAGTGACAGGCTGACAGCGAGTGAGAGCAGACAGCGGGTGAGAGCAGACAGCGGGCGAGTGCGAGACAGTGGGCGAGGGCAGACAGCGGGCGAGGGCAGACAGCGGGCGAGAGACGGTGGGCGAGAGCAGATAGCGGGTGAGTGCGAGACAGCGGGCGAGGGCAGACAGCGGGCGAGAGACGGTGGGCGAGAGCAGATAGCGGGTGTGTGAGAGACAGTGAGCGAGCGAGAGCCAGCCAGCAAGAACAGCAAGTGTGTGAGAGGGAATGTGCTGAGGTGCAGGGATAGGATTGGGTAGTATTAGCAGTTATCAGATAATACTGTCATGCAGTATTCACCTAGCGCCGCTGAGCCTTGCAGGGTCTGAGTAATGGACCGGAGCGGTTACAGGTGTTGGGTGTTGTCCGGAATGGCGAAGGGAGTGAACATTGGCGGTTAATGAAGATAGTACCTGTAGCGGATGGACCACGCACCTTATTAGACTACTCAACAAACACCTCGACTCCAAACAACTTGGTCCCACTATTGGAAGACATAGCTGTGTGAAAATCATTTGAATGAAAGATGGAATTGCATTAAAAACATACCTATGAGGGTTGAGAAAGTAGTAGATTGAAGATAAGTGTTGAATGGAACAATGTTGTTCACAGACAAAAATGGACCATGGTTGCGTCTGAATCAAATTATTGCAGTGGTCAGACCATAACGGTGGCTCGAGTTTACAGATTATTTATGGCGCAGTAGTATATATTGGTTGTTGTAGATTAGGCTTATGAATGCAGTTTAGTGCATCCATGTGCTATGAGTGAGTCAGAGTGACGAGTGATGGTTGAAATTTTGAGAGATTGAGAAGGTGGCACCAGTGACTAGTAGTATACAGATGTGTAAGTAAAACTCCAACGACTTTTGACTCAAGTTGGTAGGACCAAAACTAATACATCAAATATTGCTCTAACATTAATGCCATGATCTTAAGCACTTGTGATTTCGGAACCTCACAAAGTTCAAACATGGCTTCGTCACACTAGGCTGCCGCACAGTTGGGAATTATTAGACTTATGTTCAAAATTTGAATGCGGGTTATGGTCCGACCATCCTGTAATATGTATCTCGTTTCCGCGTCCAAAACAGTATTTTATTCAATCCACGAGAATGCGAGAACGACATCAGTGTGGCATCAAACCTTAACATCCGTTCAATGTTGTTGCAGCTGCAGGTCGCAGAGGGAACTGTCTTCGATTCACTGTCCATAATGAAGGTTTGTATGGAATGCGGGAGACACAGTGGCTTTCAAATGTATTAAGAAGTTGGACATTGACAACAATGCAGCGCGACGACGCATACACGCACGTTTCTGACTAGTTATATACTTAATACATGTGGTAGTATATCCGGGTCACTGTGAACAAAAGAAAATGGGCAGCGGGTCATGGATTCAATCTGTCCCATTTACCAGATGCGGCCAGCAAATGATATGAGGATAAGGCTGCTCGGCGATGGGATCTGAAGTCAGGCGAGGAGATTGAGGAAGTGCAGGGTGTCCGTGAGGAGCATGTATATGCGGCGGCAGTATCAAGGGCTGGTCGATGGGTTGTCACTGCTGGTGGAGATGGTGATTGTGGAGAGCTGAAAGCCTGTGAGGTTGAGGTTAAGATGGGGATTGTGAAGACATTTGAAGGATACTTTATATCACACTGCTAGCAAGTGCAGATATGGAGGGCTGGGCAAGGAAAGAGGCGGGCAGAGTCAAGGCGGAGCATGACTGGATTGGTAAGAGGCCTACCGATGCAGGCTGCCAAATAATTAAATTATGTAAGCAAGAAGGCCTGGAACGAGAAGAGAAGCGGGAAGCAAGGAGAAGGGAAGCAAGGTACCGGTTAACCCGCTCAATATTCAATATGGACGGACGAGTGCCAAATATGGACAGCACAGCCGAAATATGTACCGGACAGATGATGCATCACAAAACTAGGCTAGTTAGCCTGTTCTGATGCATCAATATGTCATTATTGCCTGACAGGATAGGAAATGTTGTCTCATGTTGCTGCGAAGACTACATCGAGACATTTTCAGTAGAAATTATATGAGAAGTGTACTCACCTTCCACCACTGAAGGGGATTGGTCATTTGTTCAGGTGGACAAGGATAGAGACCACTTAGATAGACGTCTACCTCGTTTTGAACTGTAGAGGAACCACTGCGAGACATAGTCAAAGCTGCAATGAGGGCAGATTTTGATGGCGAGGCTGGGACTGATGTGGGAATGGTAGCGGATGTTTTTCTAATGGTGCCGTCGTCGGTCGTATAAGTCTTGTAAAGGTGTTCAAGCAAAATGTGAGCACAACGGCCAAGATTCCTAGTGGGCCATAAGTTCTGGTCGTCGAAGTATGCAACTCATATGCATGGATGCAAAACTAGTGTACATAGTATCCATTACGTTGAAATGCCCGTTCCCATGAGCGATTAAAAGAGTAAAACGGCCCCTCTTCTTCATCACCATTAAAATCACAAAGGTGTGTGGCAAGAGGGCTATCCTCTGTTCCTTCTGGCACAGTCAATGGTAGGCCTGTGATTGCATTTTGAAGGTCGGCGAGAAGCTGATCAGTGCTGCGGCTGCCAGATATCATAGGCCGTGTTTTTGATTTGAAGTGCGAAAGTCGCAGTGTTTCCGTGTTACGACAAACGGTCGTGTGCGACTAGGATAATCTAACAGCGACAACCACGACAGTGGTACCGAGTGCTGAGAGTCGTCGGCCTTTACAGACAAGCAAAGGTTGCGTACTCGAACGTAGCTCGTGGTGGTTAACGAGGGGTTATGCTGAGATGATAGTGGGGTTTACAGACAGTGAGAGGCGTCACTGAAGGTACGAGTCAATGTCGAGCAGGTAGCTTTAGCGGGACAAGGAGTTCAAGGGTAAACCTAGTAAGATTAAAGTAAGGAACGTCTACTGTTAATCTTCGACCTTATATAAGGCTACTCTTCGTATCTAAGCTCAGCCTAAAGCTGGGTTCTAATCTGCTTATCTACATGAGTCAGAGATAGCGTCCATGAGGCGGGCTTCTATCGTAGATAGGATCCATGAGGCATCCTTCTATCAGTACATGAGGCAGTACGAGGCTTGCCTTCTATCTTGATAACATAAATAGGTCTTCTAGACCTATGTCGTCATGTGTTGTCACGTGCGGTCCAGACCGCTTATCTAAGCCGGCAGTTGCCGCTTATCGTCTATCATCATCTATCGTTATCTGTCGTCATCTATCGTCATAGAGCTGGTGAGACTCCGGTATCGTCTATAGCCGTGCGGTGGCAGAGGGCTGTCTGCTGGCAGGGGACTCATGCCATGTTACTGTAACATTACCCCATTACTAGCGTCAAAGTCACCGATTTTGACTATCCTGTGTTCTTCGTCAGCTTCCATCACCGGAGGTATCGGAGGCGTGGAGACGGCTGGTACGGGAGGAGTTTCTGGTTTGGGCGAAGGCGGTGCTGGGTATCTGAGCGTGAGGTCCGCGAGCGCTTTATGATTATGCTCCCAATCTAAGAGAGCTTCGAAAAACTTCTCTTCATCTCTAAACTCTTGGAGTACGATGCATCCATTGAGTTGAGGGCAGTGGACCAACAGATGGTCAGGTCCTAGTTCATCGCAGATGCAACAAACATAATCTGGACACTTTCTAAATGAGTGTCCGTATCCTCCGCAACGCTTGCAGAGCGTGGTACGGGTACGATCTATAGTGGCCGCCTTTCGTCTCAGCAGGCGCACCGGTCGGGATCTTTCTTCAACATGAGGCCTTGCCTCGACTGTTCTGACAGCTTGGTTCACGATGTCTGGGAAGTCGAGCGGAAGGAGGTGAAGCGCGAGTACGCGAATCCTTTTCTGTAAATGAAGCACGGCAAGTTTCTTCGTGCTTTCATCGAGGTCATCACGATTGGCTACGTCTTCCAGTAGCTTCGTGGTACGGATAATGCAGACAGCAAGGGATGTCCCTGCACTGAGTCTGGCGTCTTGCTCACCAAGGATGTCGTCGATCACTTGGGAGTACATGGGGGTGAGAATAGTGGTTTCGCTGAACGCGTTGTTCTCGATCGTCTTAAGGATTCGTCCATAGTCGGAGTCCTTAAGTGCAATGCGGATAGTTTCTTCTTCAATAGAGGTCGTCATGATGTTGGGAGGTTTCTGGGGAAAGATGTTCTTGGGAGAGGCCTTATATGGCGTCCAGATCATTCCAAGCTCCGCTTGATTTCTAGACTTATCTTTTGTTAAGTTCTTCTATCGTTATCTATCTAGCCATGAGGCTAAGATCTTCTCGTTATCGGGACACGAGGGGTGGTTCTGCGCTATCAGAGGGGAGGTGCCGTGATAGGTACGATCTTCATTAATCCTTTGTTTATATCAGGATCAAGGTTCGTCATCATCAGAGGGTGGTAATCATTGCCATTGATGGTATCTGCTTCGATCTCTTTTGTTTGATGATCAGAGTCGAAGTCGTTCTAGAGGGTTCCGAGGGCTTGCAGGAGTTTCCAAGGAGTTCGTCTCATGATAGTTTAGCCTTGTTCCGGAGGATCGTCTTCTTATCTTTTGTTGAGATCTGTCATGATCTATCTGGATGTCGAAGGGGGTTCTGTGGATAAGAGATCCGCGGGCTTGCAGGAGTTTCCGAGGGTTCGTTCTTTCTCCGGTTCTTCTTCTTTATCTTTTGTTTCGATCTATCTTTCAAGATCTGTCTGGATATTCGAAGGTCATCTTCTTTTAACCTTTTGTTGATACTATCTTCATTGGGTTGAGAAGGTTCGGGGTCCAGGGGCAGGTGCCAAGGCTTGCAGGAGTTTCTTGGGGTCGTCTCCCGAGGAGGGGTCTTCTTAATCTTTGTTGAATGATTCTTCATCGATTGTCGAAGGGATTCATGGATAAGGGGTTCCAGGGCTGTAGGAGCCGTTCGGGGAGTTCATCCTTTCTCCTAGTTTTACGTCATCTCGGACAATCGTAGTTTTATTCTCTTTCCGGAGGATATCTAGTTTTAGGTCGTTACGGACCAGCATAGTTTATCCTCTTTGCGGAGTATCGTGCAGTTTAAAGCCTTGCCAGGCTATCGCGCAGTTTAAAGCCTTGCCGGGCTCTCGCGCAGTTTAAAGCCTTGCTGGGCTCAGGTCGAAGTCGTCATCAGAGGTTCATATCAGAAGTAGTCGGGAAATGGTATTCGTGGTGGGGGGTGTCATGCGTGAAACGAGAATAAATCAGGGATTTTACCCCCTCAATAAGCCGTTTAGTCTACCATGACTAATCTTCAGTCTAAAAATCAAGGCCGTCGTCAGGGCCTTCGTATTCGATTTCGATTCCTTCGTCATCAACCATGCGCCAGTTGTGCGTCGATGGTTCTTCTAAATCCAACCATATATTTTCAATGGGATTGGAAGCAGGGTGTGGTGCGTAGAGCGCCCGAGGTTCGGAAGCGAGCGTTATTGCTTCTTCGCTTTGGTCATCGTCAGATTCCATATCTGTGAAGCGGACAAATTGCGGTCTGACTTCTTCTTCTTCCTTCTTTACAAGATGAGCGAATTCGTCAGGGTCATTTTCTTTCAGAGCCTTCAGGCGGTGGGCCTCGTTTACAATACGAACATGTTCTAAGAACATGTCGAAGTCTGAGTCAGAAGACTGTTCAGGTGCAGGTTCCCAGTGTTGCATCATTGCATCAATGTTATCAGCGGGGATCTCCGCGGAAGGTATAGAGAGGTTCAGGGAATTCAGGATGGGGTTTTCGTCGGCTGTGTCGGTATCATCAGCTGGGCTTTCGTAAAACCTGAGTTTCTTGGCTTCAGGTGGTTCTGCCGTCGACACGGCTCTTCCTTTTCCGAGAACGGAAATCGGTTCTCCGGAAAATTCAAATCTAGGGGTTGTCTGAGTTTTCTCTGGTTCAGGGGCCAGTCTAGGTGCCTTCAAGATAGGCGGTTCTTCTGTCATAACTGCACATCCTTTTCCGAGGACTGATGCAGGCTCCGCCGAGAACCGATAGGGTTCAGGAGTCTCTTCTTTCATCGGCTGAACAGCCGGTCCGATCTTCTTCGCAGGTGCTTCAGGGATGATATAGTCCGTGATTACTGCAGGTCTTACGACCTTCTTCTGAGTTGTCTCCGGATCAGTGGCCGGTCTCTTCTGCTCAAATCGTCGTGCTGCGAGGTCAATACGAGGCAGCGAGTCTTTCTTCACGATCGTCGTTGATCGTGGTGCAGGAGTAGGGAGTTTCACGGATGGCGGGTTTCCGTGCGGTTCCTCAGGAACTGGTACAATCTTTGTCGTTGGTGCCAAGCTCATGGAAGCGAGGCCACTGGAGAAGGCGCGGGGAGTGGTCGGGGAAACGGACCTTTTCCTTTTCTTCTGAGTGCCCTTCTTTTCTTCTTTCTGGAAGAGGGGCGTTTTGCCGTTCTTCTTCCGGTCGGAGTCAATCTCCTTTTCTTTCTTTCGGGAATCTACGGTGCTCTTGAGAGTCACCGTGCCATTCGTCCAGTTGATGGCGGGGTTGTGGCTGATAAGCCAGGGTTGTCCGAGCATGAGCTTCTCTTTCGGAGTAAGCTCGGCAAGGTAGAACCGTTCGGTGCATACCCGTTCGTCTATCTGGAAGGAGAGGGTGCAATACCTCTCAATCGGCTTCTTTCCGAAGCTGGATCCGTCAGCGTTAGAGAGCGTGAAAGGCTTCTCTAGCTGGTGCGATGAGATTCTGTGCTGCGTGCAGAAGTCCTTGTTTACGAAGGACTGGCACGCCCCTGAGTCGACGACCATAGATGTCGCGATGGGGGTGTTTCTCGTTCTGGTCATCAGGGTGGCATTCACCCGTAGTTCGTTCTTCTTAACTCCGGTCTCTTTGATAGAGTTCAACCGGAGGTCTTCTTCGATCATCTTTCTCCGCGGGGTTCTGGGCCATTGTGGGCAGCCCGCGGCTTTGTGGCCAATGACGTGGCATACAAAGCATCTTTTCTCGTTCAGGTAGATACGAGTTTCTTTTCCCGTAAGGTGGGAAGCAGCCAGGGTGTTTCGGGAAGTTGCCATATTGGAGATGGTTATCTTCGATCTTCGTAGTGTTCCAAGCAGGAAGTCTTCTACTGTGACAGCGGTTCTTATATTCTTGCGACTGGTCAGGCCGGTACGTTTCGGGGTTCTTCTACAGATCTTCGGTAGCGTTGAAGATAGGTACGATCAGGGATCTGGCGTCACAGATGGGTGACGTGCGAGTTGAACTTTAATCTTTTGTTACGACAAACGGTCGTGTGCGACTAGGATAATCTAACAGCGACAACCACGACAGTGGTACCGAGTGCTGAGAGTCGTCGGCCTTTACAGACAAGCAAAGGTTGCGTACTCGAACGTAGCTCGTGGTGGTTAACGAGGGGTTACGCTGAGATGATAGCAGGGTTTACAGACAGTGAGAGGCTGTCACTGAAGGTACGAGTCGATGTCGAGCAGGTAGCTTTAGCGGGACAAGGAGTTCAAGGGTAAACCTAGTAAGATTAAAGTAAGGAACGTCTACTGTTAATCTTCGACCTTATATAAGGCTACTCTTCATATCTAAGCTCAGCCTAAAGCTGGGTTCTAATCTGCTTATCTACATGAGTCAGAGATAGCGTCCATGAGGCGGGCTTCTATCGTAGATAGGATCCATGAGGCATCCTTCTATCAGTACATGAGGCAGTACGAGGCTTGCCTTCTATCTTGATAACATAAATAGGTCTTCTAGACCTATGTCGTCATGTGTTGTCACGTGCGGTCCAGACCGCTTATCTAAGCCGGCAGTTGCCGCTTATCGTCTATCATCATCTATCGTTATCTGTCGTCATCTATCGTCATAGAGCTGGTGAGACTCCGGTATCGTCTATAGCCGTGCGGTGGCAGAGGGCTGTCTGCTGGCAGGGGACTCATGCCATGTTACTGTAACATTCCGATTCTGCTGAATTTGGCGTGTGGGAAATTTGTAGATAAACTGTACAGTTCACGTTGTCTGCGGTCAATTTGTCTCTCTTCGTTCATGTTCCTGGGCCACCAATCTTCAACTGTAGGTATACAGAATATGGATAAATACAGTGACCGTAATGTATTGTATTCATAATGTATTGTAACATATTCACCCATAATCTTCATGACTAGGAATACAGGACCTATGTATTATATTCAGGGTATTCGAATATAATCCGAATAATATTCAATCATATTCAGTATTGTGGACAGCACTGGTCATCAACGCATGACAAATTCAACTTCAAGTTGTTCGACAGTCACGTCACGTCAAACACCGTGACGTGAAGCTTGCGCAATGCACCAGTCTCACGCTGAACAGCTCGCCTTAGTGAACTTCAATAATATCACTCAATCAAATGCTTGAAACAAGATCCAAAGATCAAATTGTAACATGCTCGGACATCTGCCTACCTTGATATCTAACAACTCATCAACAAATACCTGCAGAGCGATGAACACGAATCCTACAACACTGCAATCCGACATCGACTCCTTTCGTGAATCACCTGTCACTCATCCCTATCTTGTATTTCATCCGGCAACTGAGATGCCAGCCATCTCAATCCACCGGACAACATGATCAAGACGACAAAAACTGCATTTCCTCCTAGAAGGTTGTGTTCCTTCGATACAGCAAAGAGCGAAGTCGCCAAGGCGGGACCAATGGCACGAGCTACTGCCGCAGAGGTTTGGCTGAGGCCATTGATAGCGCCAAGGACATTGTTTGTGGGAGCAGAGGCTGTGATAAACATGAAAACAACTCCTGCAACGAAGTGAGCTGCTTGTAATGACGAGACGGTTTCATTGCAACACGCACCATATCCCATATCCCATGTGACTTCTATACATATGAGGAAAAGCAAGGCAAACGTGATTGTATAATCGACTTCACCCCTTGCACGTAAAATCCACGACATTATCGGAAACATAGCCACGAGTGGTGGGTAGCACCACACTGAACGAGAGAACAGACGCTTTGGACCAATCCAATCGGTGATTCTGGCAAAGAAGAATGCCTGAAATACACCATCCGTGATCCCAATCAACGCCATCCACCAGCCAATAGTAGCAGGATCAAATCCAAGACCGCCAAGGTAAGTAGGTGTCGACAAGAACAGCGGCAAAAGAACCCTAAAAGAAACGTCAAGGAAGGAGAG